TTCACCAGTGAAGCCCAGAATGTTCTCTCTGTGGTTTTAAACTACAAATTCACTTGCCTTAGTAGATTTGGGACTATTCAGGTTATCCATTTTTTCTTGAGTGGGCTTTGGTAATTTTTATCTTTGAATGAATTTGTCCATTTCTTCTGTCATATTTATTGGCATGAAACTACTCGTGATATGCCTTATTCTTCTTAATACCTGTGGTGCTCCCTCCACCTACCCCTACCTCAGTTATTCTGGCTAGAAGTGTATCAATTTGATTAATGTTTTTAAAGAACTTACTTTTGATTTAATTTATTTTATCTATTTTTTTTTTCTATTTCATTGATTTCTACTCTGATCATTATTATTTCTCTTTTTTCCTTTGAATTTCATATGCTCCTTGTTTCTTGTTTCTGCTTTTACTTTTTACTGAGGAGAAACATATAGAGCACAAATCATAAGTGTGAACTTCCACATGCTGAACACACCCACATAATGAGCACCCAGAACAAGAATCAGAACATCATCAGTTCCAGAAGCCTCTTTCAAGGGTCCTCCCCCAACCCAGGGGATCGCCAGTGCCTTTTTACCAGCTGAGTTGTATATATAAATGGAATCATACAGTATATCTCCTGTGTCTGACTTCTCTCTCCCAATATTGTATGAGATTCATCTCTGTTGTTTAAATAACAGTAATTTACTCATTTTCATTTCTGTTTAGTATTTGTAACGTGACTATATCGTAATGTTTCCTTCTGTTGAGGGGACATGGGAGCTTTCTGGCTTGAGTCTTTGTAAATAACGCTCCTGTAAAATGCAGGGTCGCAGAGCAGATGTGTGCTTGGTCTTAGGGGATAGTAGCTTCCCTAAGTGGCTGTGCCAGTCACGCTCCGCTACCAGAAGATGAGTGTTTGTGAGGGTTTCAGGCAGGTGGAAGCAGTGTGTGTTCCAGACCATCGTCGTGCTATCCAGTGTTTGTTGAGCAGCTGAGTGAGTGAATACACAGGCGCACAGCCGAAAAGAGAGACAGTTCTCCCTGGGGTTGACTGAACGCTCATCAGATACCATGTGGGCCCAAGACTAGCCAAATATAAGAAACAGCTCCTTCCTTCAGTAACACACAGCCTATAAGGAGGGTTTAAAACCATGCTCCAGTGGGGTTTATAGGGTCAGTCTTCAGTACAGAACTTGTGTCTGGGAGGTGAGGAACACAGTAGCCCGCAGGCAGGACTTGGCCTGTAGAGTGCCCAGAGATCATTTGGGCAAAGGCCTGGAGGAGTGTTGTCTGGAGAAGACCATGGCATGGTGAGCTGGGGTGAACATGGGTTTCTTACCAGCTGTGTACATGGGGCCTAAGCTCTTAGCCTTGTGAGCCTCAATCTTCTTCTCTCTTAAAAGGGCTTAGCCTCACAGGGCTTTTAGCTGCACATAGCTGCACCATGAGCTTTGTGCCCAATACCTGGTGTAGTTTTTAAGATGGAAGCTGAGGTTATTGATTAGATTGGTATTTTTTTTTTTTTAAACATAGTCATTTAATGCTATAAATATTCTCCTAAGTCCTTGCCATAATGGCGTCCCACCAATTCTCATTTCATTTTCATGTAGTTAAAAAAATGCTTTGTTTCACTTTTGGTTTCTTCTTTGATGTGTTGGTTAGTTGCCAAACAAACATTTGGGGATTTTCTAGGAATCTTTCTATTATTGATTTCTTATTTAATTTCCTGTGGTCAAAACAAATCTTTGTATGGCCTGAATCCTTTTGGGGTGTGTTTCATTTACCCACAATATAGTCTGTCTGGTTAAATGTTCCATGTGTCCTTGTAAAGAATGTATGTGCTGCTGCTGTTGGGCGGGAAATTCTAGACATGCCAGTTAGGTCAAGTTAGTTAATTGTGCTGTTCATGTCTACTGTGTCCTTATTGATGTCCTGTCTACTTGTCCTATGAAATACTGAGAGGAATAATGAGAGTTGGGTGTTGAACTCTCCTAACTATAATTTTGGATTTGTCTTATTTTTGTTTGTAGTTCTATCAGTTTTTTATTCATATATTTTGAAGCTCTGTTATTAAGTGCATAAATGTTTAGAATTGTAAGGTTCTCTTTGTGACTTAGATTCATTATTATGAAATGATCCTCTTTGTCTCTGGTGATATTCTTTGCACTGAAAAATATATAAAAGATATATAAAATACCTACTTTATCTGATATTAATAGAGACATTCCAGCTTTCTTTTGAGGAGTATTAGTGTGCTTTATCTTCTTCGATTCTTTAGCTTAAAACAACTGTAACAATTTATTAGTATAATTCAATTTACCATACAGTTCACTCAAAATGTACAATTCATTGACTTTTAGTATATTCAGAGTTGTGCATTTGTCTCCACAACTAATTTTAGAATATTTTCATTAGCCCCAAAACATACCCCTTTAACTGTCACCCCCTCTAACCTCCCAACTCCACCCCCTGCCATGGGCAACCATTCATATGCTTTCTATCTCTATAGATTTGCCTATTTTGGATATTTCATACACATGGAATCATACAATATGTGGCCCTTTGCAACTTGCTCTTTTCACATAGCAGAATATTTTCAAGGTTCATGTATGTTGTTCTGTTTCAGTAATTCATTTCTTTTTATTACCAAATAATACTCCATTGTATGTGTAGACCAGTTTTATTTATCCCTTCATCAGTTGGTGGCCATTTGGGTTTTTTCTACTTACTGGCTATTATGAAGATTTGTGTACAAGTTTTTGTGTGAATGTATATTATCATTTTTCTTGAGTCTGTATCTAGGAGTGAAATTGCAGAATCATATGGTGATTCTATGTTTAACTTTCTGAGGATCTACCAGGATGTTTTCCACAATACCATTTTATATTCCCACTAGCAGTGGGTTCCAGTTTTTCCATACCTTCACCAGCACTTGTTATTTTCCTTTAAAAAAAATTTTTAATTATACCCATCCTAGTGTGTGTGAGGTGCTATCTTATTGTGATTTTGACTTTCATTTCCGTATCTACTGTTGGTGAGTGTCTTTTAATGAGCTGATTGGCCATTTTTTTAAATCTTTGATTTGTTTATCTTTTTATTGTTGAGTTATAGGAGTTCTTTCTATGTTCTGGATACTAGACACTTATCAAATACAAAATTTGAAAATATTTTCTACTGTTGTATAGGTTGTCTTCTCATGTGATAGTATTCTTTGATACACAAATTTTAGAATTTTGATGAAGTAAAGTTTATCTGTTTTTTTCTTACGTTACTTGTGCTTTTGGAGTCACAAGGACAGTCCTGTTGGCAACACGGTCATGAGGATTTACCCACGTTTTCTTTTGAGAGTTGTCGTTTTAGGTCTTCCATTTAGATCTCTCATCCATTTTGAGTTAATTGTTATATATGGTGTAAGAAAGGGATTCAACTTCATTCTTTTGCACGTGGGTTTCCATCAGTTCTAGCACAGTTTGTTGAAAACCTATTCCTTTTTTTCTTTTTTTGCCCCCCTAATTACTTATTTGTTTGCTTAGCTGCACCAGGACTTAGTTGAGGCGTGCAGAATCTTCAGTCTTTGTTGTGGCATGCAGGATCTTCAGTTGTGGCATGCAAACTGGTAGTCCCGGCTGCCACCCAGGATGCGGAAGGTCCTGCCTAGACATGGATTTGTGCTTTGGTCTTTCCCTGGGACAAGGATGGAGGAAGTAGAGGACAGCAACAGAAATTAGAGAGAGAGCTGAGCTGACTTGATTTAAAAAGGAACCGGTGTCTTCACAGAGCAAGTTGTCAGTGGCTGGGAGCAGATGAACAAGGCCCACTCTTGGGAGGGGGAACAGATATCCTGACCTGACCCTACCCTACTTTGTTTGGATAGAGAATCAAGTCGCTTTATACATTTTAATTTTTTATATTACAAATAGTCCTGCTCATATACATATGAGCTTTGCTCATATACATAGCTTTGCATGTTTTCCCAATTGTTTTCTTAGACTGGATTCTAGAGTTCATATTAAAATAATAAATTAATGAAAATTCTTGTATTTCTCTCAAGAAATAAAGGCATCATTTTCCTTGCTCTTTAATAGCCCTCTCTCTTTTATTTTCCTTCTGTGAGCCAGTAGCCCTGTAAAGAGACAGCGTCTCCCCCTCAGAGGTCTGCATGGGGTGGCCAGTGAGGAGGGGGGTCCCTGGGGAGGAGGCACACTAGAGGCCTGTGTGGGTCGTGTCCTGGCTACTATGATGATGCAGGGTGGGAGGGAAAGAAGCAAAGGTGCTTACTTGGGGCTGTGACACCTGATGAACAGGACATGATGGTGTGTCCAGGCTGGCCGGGACCAGGGGCACAGACTTGGGCAGATCAGCGCCAGTTCTGGTTGTACTTGCTTATAGGGGCTCCTCCCTGAGCCACTGCAAGATCCTTTGCTCTTAGAGCCCAAAGCCCTTGCTGGGTCTGGGGATGGTGGGTCCTCTCCCCTCGGGTATTTTCAGCTCTGTGCCCAGGTCCTGGGCAGGTGGGCAGGGTCTCCCACCTGGGACACACGTGGGGATCAGTTGGCACAAGCTTCACTTGTCCCGGGCTTGGGCTTTCACCTTCTCAGGCCTCCCCTGGTATGGTGTCTTCCAAGATGAGTGAGTCAGGATCAGTCAAGGGAAGGGCACTGCCCTGAACCTTGGTTTCCATATCTGGAGGAGAACCTCAGACCCACCCTAGTGCTGGGGGCTTCCCTGCCGGGATCCAGGACAGGGGTCTGTTTGCTGATGGGGGCCACACTGGCAGAGACTGTGACTGGGACCTCCTATCCTTGCCTTGCCCCAGTTCCTCCAGCCACTCCCACCATCCTATCCCTCCAGGGCTCCTCATTGGCCCCACCCCCAGATTTTCTGTAACCTCACAGCCCTCATGCATGTCACGCTTAGGTATCTTGCTTCTCCTGTGGGAAAAGTCCCCCCACTTTCCCCTGCATGTCTGGTCACAGGATTGCCTCCAGGCTCCCTCTCAAGAGCATCTCATCCTCTACAGGCATTTGGACAGGCCCACACGAACCATAAAAAGGTGGCTGCAGATGGTGAGAGCCGAGAGGAGAGTCTGATCCAGGAGTCAGCTTCCAAGGAGCAGTACTATGTACGCAAGGTGCTAGAGCTGCAGACGGAGCTGAAGCAACTGCGCAACGTGCTCGCCAACACGCAGTCAGAGAATGAGCGTCTGGCCTCCGTGGCTCAGGAGCTGAAGGAGGTAACCAGTGGGACTGGGGCAGTGTGCTTGACTCTAGGTGGGCGGTGGGAAACCCCCCCCCCCGCCGCCCCCACAGATTGTTTTACCCCAACTTCGTGTGGTCCATGCTGGTCCAGAAAGGTCTGGGGATGGCAGGGTCCCAGTTCTGCACTTGGGGAGATGTGAATCCTGGGTTCCTCATGTGAGCAGTCTCATTACAGTGTCCACCTGCCAGCTTGGGACAACAGAGGGAGGCCCCCACAAACAGCTCCGAGAATCATTTTGGCCCCTAACGGGCCTGGCTATCAGAGGCCTGGGCAGGTGGAGGGGGAAGGCAGCCAGTCCCCTCTGAGAGAGGTGGGAGGCTGGGCCAGTGTTCCCAAGATGGGGTGGGTCAGCAGCAGGGGAGCAGGCATGACCAGAAGTCTACATGAGCTGTCGTCCTGGCCGTGGCTTTAGGGTACCTTACGGTCAGAATCCCCAAGTTCTCATCAGGAAGGGCCTTGTTCCGGGCTATGGGGAGACACTCTCTGTAGCCTCTGATCTCCATAGAGGTGGGGAGCGGTTGACCAGAACAGCAGATGGTTCTGAGTGGTGGTCAGCTCTGAGGTCGACACCTCAGATGGGATGGTATATGGCAGTCAGTGTTCCACAGGGGTGGGAGGGACACTGGCAAGGTTTGGGATGGAGCCCAGGAACTGGCCGCAGTGGGAAGTGGTCACCCATCCTAGTTTGGGATCAGAGATCACCAAGACTTGTGGGCTGGGGAGGAGCTTGGCTTGGATCCAGGAGAAGTGCATGATCTCTTGTCTTCCCACAGGAGCTCTCTGGTCAGGGTGGGGAGAAGGGACTATCAGAGCTGTAGATTTGACCACCCAAGGGGGAGGCTAGCCTCATGGCCAGCTAAGAGCCCTTTTCCGAAAGAGTCAATGCAGGTGCTCTCCCCAGCCCAGACTCATTCTGCAACGTCCCTCTTCCTCAGAGGAGTGGCAGGGCACTTGCTGACTACTGACCTTGGCGCCAGGAAATGAACTAAGCCAGTCCCACATGCTGCTATTGAAGAACAGGTCTGGTGGGGTCAGGTTTCCTGCTGTTCCTGCTGGTGCTTCTGGAGGAAGCCTTTGCCTCCCCACCCCCATACGTCCTCAGTACGATTTCTCCTGAGGCCCTGCCTCTGTGCCCCTGATCACTGTGAGGCAGGCACTGTGGAGCCGTGCCAGGTTCTTGGTTGGAGTGGAGGCTCTCCATCCCCGCCTGCTCAGACTAGAGCCCTGCTCGGTGTCCCCACCACTGCTGGCTCTGCCAGTGCCCTGCTGCCATCCCAGTCTGGTTGGTATTCTGCTCGTCCTGGTCCTGCCACTTCTGCCTGAGCTGCTGTGCCGAGCACCTCCATGGCTGTGCCCCAGAGGCCCATTCCTACAGGGGCTTGTGCCGAGGCCGAGGAGCCTGGGTCCTGAGAGCTCAGTGCTGAGCGCTGTCCCCGGGGAGCACCGGCCTGTACCGGCCTTGGTGTGATCAGGCACGCGGGCTCTGCACAGTCTCCACAGGAAGTGCCCCCTCCACACGCGGCATGTCCCTGCTGGTGCCTGGTCCCGCTGCTGTCCAGTGCAGTGGCTGATGGGCCAGCTGTGCTGTGCCCTCTGACCCACCCCCGTCCTTCACCCTGTGGTGTCTGGCTTAGGGGCTCATCCCATGCCCAGCTCTCCAGGAGGAACTTGAGGCCTCCGTCATGTGACACGTATAACTAACATGCTCAGCTTGTGGGACAGTTCCAGCTACCCTGTGACTTGTCTTTTGGGTAACCCTATGGGCATACAGTTATTTCCTTCATCTCACAGGTTGGGAGATCAAGGTGAAGAAGGTTTGACTGCACACCCAGGGTCACTGGGTCCTGACCTCTGCACTGTGAGTGAATGGGCCCTGCCAGCTTCTGCCCTGGGGCATGGCCTGAGGGCCCATTTTGCACATAGAGAAGCAGAGACCCAAGGATCAGACCCAGCTGACTGGTGACAGAGTCAAGTCTTTTGCACATTCCTCAGATTTGCCTTGGGAAAGGGTTGAGAGGGGTGATGAGGGGTGCCTTGAGAAGCAGAACTGTGAGTTGAGGAGGGGGTGGGCATCATCTGCCTGGGGGTGACCCCCTTGGGTAAAATTACTGTCCCAGTGGACCCTGGCCTTGCTCTCTTGGTGGACTCTGCATGTATCAGGCCCTTCACAGGCTTAAGAGTGGCAAAGATGTGCCAGGAGAAATGGTATCTGTTGTCATCTCCTTTGTCCTGGCTAGGAGCCAGAAATACTTGTTCCTTGCTATGGTGGCATCTGGGCCCCTAGGAACGGCTGAAAGGAAGCCAGGTTTTTGGCCACAAGCTGAAGTGGTGGGTGCTAGATCAGGAGCAGCAGCCCCAGGCGCCGGGGGGCTCTCCACTGTGGTGTGGGCAGCTTGGACAGATGGACACCTGCCCTCCAGATCCAGGAGACTGAGCGGAGAATGTCACGGTGGCAGTCCAGAGTCAAGAGAAAGGGCCCTGGCTGTGTAGAGAAAGCAGCAAGGGTAAGGGGTAAAGTCGGGGTGAGCCCCTTGGGTGAGGAGGAGCTGGAGGGGGTTCCCATATGAGTCCCGAGGGAATGGACTCCACAGGGAAGTGGAAATTCCTCCCAGGGAGCAGAGCTGGATCCAGCTGGTTCGGGTGTGGCAGCCAGTAGCCCCCTAGGAGGTCAGATTGGGGAGGGAGGGTCTGCAGGGGATGCTAAGATGGTACCTCACATACTATCTGGTTTATACGCTGTTGGACCAAAGCCTCCTGTGTCCCTGGTCGCTATGCATCATCAAGGCTGCTTTTGTCAGGCTCACCTGAGAGAAGGTGCTTACCTGGGGGAAATCAAACCCCACAGTGGCCAGTGGGAGCTTGTTGAGCCCTTGGTAGTTGGGTGTGTGCCAGGCAAAGGTTCCCCTGAGGGCAGCAGCAGTGCCCTCACCTGCCAGGCCAGCTTGTAACCTGGGTGCACCTCGCCTTGCTGTCCAAAAGCTCTCCTGCAGACCTGTAAGGGCCCATACTTCTTTTGTCAGCTCCACTGCTATGACAGGAGGCTGTGTTCCAGTTCTGAGTTGAGAAGGCGGAATCTGCCCAGGCCGTGGGGGAAGCTGACCTGAGTTTCTCCACCACAGCCTGGACGGCTTTCTAGGTCTGTTAGTCCTGATGTGCAAACCTGTGGGGAGCTGGTGAGTTTTAGACCCTCCTCTTGGCTTCCACTCTGTTGGGTGGTCACGTGAAATCAAGCCACACATGTTTGAGCACCTCCCCAAGCAGTGTGACTTAGCAGGGAAAGAGGGAGGAGTAGCAGAGCATTTCTGGCAGAGGAGTGCGCGTGCACCCACTAGTGTGTTCACAGAAGGCAAAAGGTTCTGCACAGCAGCGGGAAGTGCTGGGACAGGGGCTTGGGCAAGGCGAGGGGCTCACAGCACAGCACACCAAGAGCAGTGGGGGCCAGTGAGGGGATGCAGTTCAGCGTTGAAGCAGAGGACAGACAGGATGAGAGAGCAAAAGCTAATTGTTGTGGGAGCATGTCCCATCCGACTGGAGGCAGGAAGAGCAGGTGGGCTGGTTAGCTGTGGCCAGCCTGTGGGACCTGCAGCAGGGTGGGTTGGTGCTGCGGAGGGATGCACAGGGGCTTCTCCTCCAGTTACCAGCCCCTCCCTTCTCTCCTCAGAGGGGAGACAAGGCCCTGGGAGGTGAGCCGACTATGGCTGCCCCTCGAGGCCATTCGCTTTCCTGAGCACCTCACACGGCGCCCCCATGTGGAGGCAAGGCTGAGTCACTGCTTCCTCAGCGCAGCCTCCCACACCGGGCCCTCGGCCCTACCCCTGCCTGCACCAGTCTGAGCCGTCTTCACTGCTGATTCCTCGCTGCTTCTCCAGGTGTGGTTCTGTCCGGGTGACAGCACACTTGCAATACAGGTGGTTGGTGGCTCCCCACGAGCATACGTGCCAAGTGAGTGAGGTCACCTGTCTGGACACATCCCCTGCCCCGTGGCAGCTTTCCTGTGGGGGCCACCGCAGCACCCTCCCAGGAGAGGTGGGTCACCTCGCACAGTATTGACAGCGCTGGGGGCGCCTCTGCCACTTCTCTTAGCTCTGTCCTGGTGCTCTGGGCTCTCCCCATGTCTTCAGGGTTCAACCTCCCATGCCCAACCCCAGCTTTCACTGGGATAAGACCAAAACCCGTGTTCATTTCCTGTGACTGCTGTGACAGATTGCCACAAACTGAGGGCTGTAGACAACAGAAAATTAAGGCGTCAGCAGGGATGGCTGCTTCTGGAGGCTGTGCGGGAGAGTCCTTCCTGTGCCTCCTCCAGCACCTGGCAGCCTCTGGCAATCCTTGTGGTCCAGTCTTGCCTCCATCTTCCTGTGGCCTTCTCCCTGGGTGTCTCCAGCTCTCCATCTTGGAAGGACACCAGCCTTTGGATTTGTGCCCACTCTAATCTCCTATTACCTTGTCTTAACTTGGGTATATCTGCGAAGACCCTATTTCCAAGTCAGATCCCATTCACTACTTCCAGGGCTTATCACTTCAGCATATCTTTTGAGGGAACACAGTTAAAACCCATAACATTCTACCCTCTGGCCTTCAGAATTCATATACTTTCCAGGTGAAATATATTCATCTCATTCCCAGAAGTCTTAGCCCATTCCAGCATCAACTCTTCAAATCCCTTATCACATCTCAAATTCGCTAGTTAGGAAAGGCTGACACTTTGCAATGGTCCATCCTGGGGTGAAATTCCTCCTTGTGCAAATTATGTGCTTCCAGAATACAATGTTAGGATAGGGAAAGGAGAGTTACTCTCATTCCAGAAGGGAGAAGAGGAAAGAATAAAGGGGCTGCAGGTCCCAGAAAGTAAGAAGCCCCGCGTTTCAAGGCCTGAGAACAGTCTTTGTTGGCCCCCTCCTCTGACTTCTGGAACCCAGGAAGCAGTGAGCCTGCTGGTCTCCCAGCCCGGTGGCTGAGATGTAAGCTATACCC